GGTCCCTTGGGGAGGGGGAGGGGGGCAGAGAGAAGTGGGGCCTGGCTTCGGTTCAGCTCTGCCCCTTGTCTGGCCAGCATGGGGGGGGGCTCCACCTCAGGCAGCAGAGTGTCTTGGGACGGCCGGGCTCCCTGGGCTTGTGACTGGAATCCAGGGGAAAGAAGATGGTTCATGAGACCGAGGCCTGAGGGAGGCAGATGGGGTGAGATCCTGGCCAGGGCCACCTCATCCCTCAGCGGCCCTGATCCCCAGCTCGCCTCCTCCTCCTCCTCCTCCTCCTCGTGTTCCACCCCGCCGCCCCCTCCTGCCTCCACGCCCACCTACCAGGCGGCGGCGGTGCTTATCTTCCTTTCTCAGTGTGCCATCAGTCTCTGCTGCTTTTCAGTCTGCGTATGAAGTAAACACTTCTTACACATTATGCCCCCATTCCAATTTCTAAGGGCTGCTGCTTTATCTGTGATTCCCTGGTTCGGTTCCCGAACGGGTGGGAGAGCGGGCGGCCTGCCAGGAGCCCGTCGGGCTTCACGCCCCCTCGGCCAGGTGGGCCAGGTGAGCGGGCCCTCGAACCCAGGTCTCCCTGGCTCCGCCATCGCGGCTCTCTTCTTGGCCCTCGGCTGTGAGACCGTCACCTCCTGCGCCAGAAGGGACCGAAAGGGGGTGGGGGAGCAGGGGGTTCCCGAACGGGTGGGAGAGCGGGCGGCCTGCCAGGAGCCCGTCGGGCTTCACGCCCCCTCGGCCAGGTGGGCCAGGTGAGCGGGCCCTCGAACCCAGGTCTCCCTGGCTCCGCCATCGCGGCTCTCTTCTTGGCCCTCGGCTGTGAGACCGTCACCTCCTGCGCCAGAAGGGACCGAAAGGGGGTGGGGGAGCAGGGGACAGGCAGAAGTTCAACAGGTGGACTCTTTCCCCTCCTCCCATCTCTGAAGAGTTGCTCTCCTGCTGCCTCCGCTCAAAGGAAGGGGGGGTGGGGGGCTCTCCTGACAAAGTGTCTGCCCCCCCAGCGGACACTTCCCTCCCTCCCACTCCCCGGCCCCGCTTGTGCCTCATCCAGCCTTGGGGGGGGGTGCTCACCAGTCATTCATGCACGTTTTCAAGCCCCGTTTCTTGGCCATGAGGGCCAGAATCTTGGTTCTCTTTGCTTGTTTTGTGTTTAGCTGAACAGAAGCTCCTCGCGATGGACGGACGTCCTGTGCCAGGGGTGCCCCCCCCCGGGGTGCAGAAGGGAAGGCGCGGGAAAGCTGTGGCCTTACTGGTGGGGGCGATGTCCCTGCACACGGGAGGGGGGGAGAGGGCATTCAGCTGAATGGGGAGGCAGCCCCTTCCCTCACCAAGATGCAAACACAGCCAGCCGTGGCCCTTCCCTTTGTGCCCCCCCCCCTAGCCCTTGGGACTCTGGCTGGCGTCTGGATCAGCCAACCTCCCTGCCACAGATTGGAACAGTGACTCGATGGGATTTTGGGACGGGGGGGTGTTGCAGCCCAGAAAGCAATATTTCCAAGCTTTGCTAGCTTGGGAAACAGCAGCCCGGCTGAGAGCAGACGTGGCGGGGCTTGGCCGGCCTAGGGCGTCAGGAGCCACCCAAGGGTTCAGGGAGGGAGGGAGCACGCCAAGGGGCCCCTGGCCATCCCTTTGGGCAAGTCCAGAGTTGAAGGCTAAGATTTGGTTTTATTTTTCATGGGCAGGGCTTGGGGGGCCCCCCAGCTGCCCCGACCACTTAAGACACCCACTTAGGGTCACGCTCTTCCACAGAGAAGTGGAAGGAACCCCCCCCCCGGCTCTCTGGGGTCTTCTCTGAACGACCTTCCGGCCAGCACAGCCGCTGGAATCCTGCGGGGGGGGGTGGTGGCTGAAAAGGCAAGGTTTCCACGCTCTGTCCTTGGTCACTTTTCCAGAACAGCAGAAGCATTCATGGGATGGAGCACTGTGCGCAGGTGGAAGGTATGCATGGCATGATGATGATGATGATGATGATGATGATGATGATGATGATGATGATGATGGGGAACGTCTGCCTGCCCATCAGAAACACCACAAGGCGGGCAGGCTGAACCAGGCTGCGTCCCCCACATCTCTGGAAATACGCAAAAATACGAGCACAGTTTATATAAGGTATCTCAACGCTGAATGTCGGCACCTCCGCCCCCCCACACCCCAAAAGAGGGTTTAGCTGATCATGTTGAAAAATATTTAATCCCATCAATCTTATAAAAAGAGACCTATAAGGAAGGGAAACAGAATCCCGGTCACATTCTTGCCTCTCTCTCTCTCTTTTTCCCCTTTCCGGCCCTCCCCCTTCCCCTCCCCTCCCTCTT